GGCCCCGTCCTCGGAGTAGTCCGGGAGTAGCAGCACCCGTCGCAAGGGCACCGAGAGCGTGCAGGGCGAGGTGGGGCCCAGGTGCAGCGCCCCCAGGCGCACGCAGTACTCAACTGGTAGTGCTCTCCTGTAAGACAGGAGCTGGAGGCTACTTCCAGCACCTGGTCCTCGACCCCCTCCAGCCCGCCTCGACCCCAACGCCTCTGGCAGGCCACGCCCGGTCCTCCGCGGGCCTTGCCTTCCTTGCACACCCCGTCTGGGCCCTCGGTGAGCGCTGACCTGGGGAAGCAGTGCGCTGCTGTCAGCACCCACTGGGGGGCGATGAGCGACCTCCCGCACACGTGTGCCCCACGATGCTGGATGCTCGCCTGCCATGGCCACTCTCCGTCCCGTGCATCCCGGCCCCCTACGATCCGACTGGACACGCGGGGCTGCCCGCAGGCTACAAAAGGACCAGGGGCGGTGAGGGTTGGCTGAGGACCTGGGGCGTGGGAGGCTGGTGTGTGAGGGGAGACACGGGGCCGAGGTCCAGGATGGGGCTGACTCGGGTGGACTTCGAGGCTTTCTCACTTGCAGACTTCCTTCCCTGAGTCCCAGCAGCTCCTGGAGGAGGAAGCAGGGAAGGGACCAGATTATAGATTTGGTGTCAAATAACAGGGTTGGAGGGGAGGCCAGAGATGAGGAAGGAGGGTGAAACATAACGTTGCCCTGACCTTGTGCCAGGCTTTTATGCCGTCTATTATCTTATTTAACCCTTCCCAGAGCACTGTGAAGGTGCATGGGGGAAGGGAGTATGAGCATGACACCGACAAGCACATCGTCGTGTGGTGAGGTCAAGGTCAGTGGCAGAGAGGATTGAGCCCTTGGAATCAAGATTAGAAAGCCCAAGAGTGCTCCAGGGAGCCCGGCCCAGGGAGCAGTGAGATGGGAGAACTGGGAGCCAAGGTGTCTGCAGCCCTTACCCCCTAGTCCGTGTCCCCACTCACCCAGCACCAGAAGGAGCAGGATCTGGAGATAGGAAGCCCCTCTCATTCTGTCTTCAGGGCTGGGCTGAGTAAGGGTGGCACTGCCTAGGGCTTGGACTCTGGTGTGGAGCCAGCAGGGAGAAGAGAGGAGCGTCCTGGCCCAGGGGCACCAATCCTCACCCCAGCCCCTTACACCCTCTGTGGTCCTTTTGTCTGTGCTCAGCTCCTGCTGGGTCCTGGACTTATCCTGGTGGCCCAGGCTGTATACTTTTCCTTCTGCCCAGGCCTCAGGTATGCAACCACCACCACCTAGATATTTGGGCATCCTTGGCCTCAACAGAAGCCCTGGAGCCTAACCCCCCTCAGTCATCCTCACTCCGCTTAGGGTCTTTTTAGGTTGAAAT